AGTTAAAAAAACCAGGCTGCTCCCTCAAAATTTATGTATATGTTGGTTATTTGGAAACAGGAAAAAATTTAAATGATGGAAGTTAAGATTCCCAACTCAACCCCCAGACCATATTTAATTGAAAATGTACCTGAACTGTAATACTAAAACCCTGATCACCATACAAAATAACAGAAGAGATTTCTTTCCTCTCTTCCTTGGTATACAGTTGAATGTAGAAAAAGATTCTAAGCAAGCAAAGTTGGTCACCCTCCCACTTTCTTTCAGCCTCCTGACTTTCTTCCTGAACCCCAACTGTTCGTTAGGTTAGCCTAATACTGCAGGTGCCTCATGGCATGACTAACATCACTTCCAAGGCAATGGCTACTTACTGCATGTAGCTAATCTTGTCTAGTTTTTGAGAGGAGAGGAATCTGATCAAATTACAATACAATGTCTATAAATGGTCATCTTTTTTCTTCCCAGAAGTGTTTGCATTTTTGAGAGATGTCTGTTGACATAAAAGAACTGACACAACCTGGGGCAGTTTTAGGAGTCCTGGTGGCATAGAGGTTAAGTGCTCGGCTACTAACCAAAAGATTGGCTTTTAGAACCCACTAGCCCCTCTGCAGGAGAAATATGTGGTAGTCTGCTTCCTTAAAGATTACAGCCTTGGAAACCCTAAGGGCAGTTTTACTCTGTCCTACATGATCATTATGACTTGATGGCAGCAGGTTTGTTTTTCTCAGTTTACAGAGCAGCTGTGGGATAGTGTGAAGGGCAAGAACATGAGCAAATGGGGACTATTTTCCATAAAGGCAGACATATCCCACCATTCCTTACAGGCAATTTATGCTCTGTCCAAACCCAGTTATCCACAGGTGCAAAATCTGGCATCTCTCATTCTTTTGCACAGGGCATTCTCTCTACCTGGAACACTTATCCCTCAATTCTCTCCTTTAAAACTTCTCCTTGTCCTTCAAACCTTGGCTCATATTTCCTCCTCCTGGAAGCCTTTCTTGTTTTCCCTAAGCTGGGGCAGGTGCCCCTCCTCTGCTTCCACAGCACACTATTAGTCTACCTACCAAAACACCTTCCTACCACACCCTCCATTATCTGCCTCCCGTTACTTGTCAATGTCATATTTGCTACTGATTCCTGAGCAATTAACACAAGGTCTTGCTCTTAATGGGTACATAAACTTAAAAAATGTTTTTAAATTATTTGATTTTAGTAACAATTTTGTTTATTGATTATTATTTGAATCATATCCAGTGCTGTTGCCTGTAATTTTCTGTATTTAAGCTAAAATAAATGTTTCCTAAATGGTATCAGCATACAGTCACTAATATTCCTTCTTTTCATATAGTTACATAACTATAGTACACGTTTTAATCAATTGATCAAATAGGACTGTTACCCATTACATATATACCCCACATCAGAACATGTACTTCACGAATACAAGGCCTATCTATGAACTGTGGACCCTAGAGTGGCTTAAAGGACTGTAAAAACCCAACTCCAATACTAAGACTTAGAGGTGACTTTCCAAATGAGTGATACAGACAGCTATCTGCAGGAATTGTCACAGGGAGTGACTACCATCTGGGAAAGGAAGATTTAATGAGGAACTGATTTCAGAAAATCCAAAATATCTAGCAATTTGCACATGCATTATTTCATTCCAACAAGCTACAAAAGACTACTACACTGATAATCATAACAACGAGCAGCCACATCACTGTCTATGAAAAGTGCATCAGAGTTCTCTACCTCCCCTTTCAGCACTTGCATCAGGTTTCCCTTCTCCATGTACTCCATCACTAGAGAGTAGTTGCCATCCTCGATGATGACACCCAGGAGCTTTACCACCCGATTATGATTCAGTCTGTGCATCATCTTCCCTTCTTCAAGGAGGGACTCATTATATCTGTGGGAAGGAAAGGTGCTGTGTGAACACAGGCAGGGTTAGCCCCTTCTCCCTCAGAGCCCCTCAAAAACTCTGTATGCACCTCTGATCAAATCTCACAGTTTTGCAATTACTTATGTATGGAACGATCTCTTCCAGAGACAGCCTGCAAGCTTTAGAAGGCAAGGCGGGTTCTCGTTTATCTTTGTATACTTTTTCCTAGTGGGTTTTCAATAAATGTTAAGTCAATTAACAAATCAATGAAAAATAAATGAGTGGCAGCAATACAGCATGAAAAGAAAAAAAAATAAGATTGTACTGGACAGTACATTAAAAAAAGAAATGCAGCCACTCTCATAACCACTTTGATAAGAAATTGAAACTATGCCACCAACTGCTTCCAAAGAGAGGGTTCTTTGAATGTCTAACTAACCAATCACCTTTATTTTCATACTTAGGGCTAGTCCTCAGCAAAAAATGTGAAATAAGTAAATAAAGTGTATTTTCAGTGACCCCACCTATTTTATTTTCATTGCCTCTCTCCATCACCCTCTCTCTATTTCTTTCCTTTTCTCTATTTCCTTTCCCTTCATTTTTCTTCTGTTATTTACCAGCTATGGGCTTTTCACTAGCTATCAGTCTCAGAATCTTCCTGTGTGATACAGAGTTAAAAATAATAACCACCTTGTAGGGCTATTATTCTACCTGACAAAAAGGCCGTGTACTGGGATCTAAACCACATCTGTCTTAGTCTCAAGCCTGTACTGCCCTTACCACCCACCACACTGTCCTGAACCTCTATAATGATAACTCTCTGGAGCAAGCCTTTAATTTGTCCCATCCCATCTTTGCTCCCAACTCACTCAGTACGCTTGGGCCCTGTGTATACTTTTTTCAGGATCACAAATCCATGGATTCTGTGACGACACAGGGACACTTTTCCAAAGCCCCCATTATCTATGTGCATCGTTTGCAGAAAGTCAGTTGATTTCATCTTAATGTCATCCAAGGACATGTCTGGTTGCATTCTGAATGCTAAGAATGCCCAAAACTATAGCACTTTTTCCCCTCTGAGAAGTGTCCTGTAAAGGAAACAGAGAAGAAATCTTAGTGCAAAATATCATCATTCAGAACAACTCTGGGAAAGGTCCACCCTGTGCCTGGTGTTTCTTTATTATTGGAGGACAGACTTATAATCTCTAGGATGAGCTATTTTTCATATTCCTAAGAATCACAGAAGATCACAATTTTTATTCCTTGTAAGGAGGATGCTACTTTCTTTTCTGGCAACATGGAAGATGAAAAAACTAAAAACACTTCCTGCCACAAAACACCTGTCATATATGTTATATATATATAACAATACTACAAACATACTTTCAGATAAATAGTTGGGCTCAATGGAAAGTAAAAGAAATCCATGGACCATAAACAAACCGGGCATGCACTGGAAGTGAGAGAGAAGTCTATATGATAGCCATGTGGGCACTGCCAATCCCACAATCCACATGGTACATTTTAAAGCCATGTGTTTTAAAGTCAGGGCAAAATCTGAGGTTCAGGAAATATAAGAAAAGAGGGATAGAATTAAGTTCCCTCACTCCTTAGCATAATACTCCTCAGTGTGCTACACCCTCAATGGAAGAACGGACTAGAGAAAAGCAGCCCATTAGCAAAGAAAATGATTTGTTTTGTATATGGTAGAATTGAGAAAATAACATACTTGCTCAAGGAAAACTGCATATGAATAAAATACCTAAGAAGACCCTATACTTTCACCTCCAGCTGACCTCTAAGTGTACTGCAAGCCAGACTAAGTGTTGAAGGAGGGCTCAGCGCAGAGCAAAATGTAAAGACTGGGAGAGGTATGTTCTCCCCTCCTCAGAGTACAAGGTAATCTCTTTCAAAATGCCAGCTCGTTGTTCATACACGTTTAAGAGGGCAGTTATTGCAAAGGCAGTTAAGGGAGGTCACTTAGCTGACAGATAACTAGCACCTTAAACAATTTTTAAAATAATTCCAAACCTGAGGAGTGGGGCCGAATCTAAGTTTCAGAGCTAACATATTTTAATATTTAAATGTCCTGATGTCAACAGAAAAAAAATCACAATCACAAAGCATAACAAAGAAACAGGAAAGGAAAATACATTCAAAAGAACAAAATAGAATGAGAAACTATCCATGTAGAAGCCCAGATAATGACCAGACTAGAAGTTTTTTGTTTTTGTTTTTAATATGTTGTTAGAGGCTACTGACTAGGATTTTGTTGAAGATTTTTGTATCTATATTAATGAGAGATATTGGGTCTGTTGTTTTCCTTTTTAGTGGTGTCTTTGTCTGGTTTTGAAATCAGGATTATGCTTGCTTCATAAAATAAATTTGGGAGAGTTTCATCCTTTTCTATGTTCTGGGATAGTTTGTGTAGGATTGGTGTCAGCTCTTCTCTGAATGTTTGGTAGTATTCTCCAGTAAAACCGTTTGGTCCAGGACTATTTTTTGTTAGTAATTTTTTAATGACCTGTTCAATACCTTCTTTTGTTATAGGTCTCTTCAAATTTTCTACCTCAGTCTGTGTTAGTTTAGGTAAGTAATGTGTTTCTAGAAATCTGTCCATTCTTTCAAATTTGTTGGAGCACAGTTCTTCACAGTATCCTGATACTACCCCTTTTATTTTAGTCTATTCTGTTGTGACGTCACTCGTTTCATTTTTTATTCATCTTCTTATTCATGTTATTTGCATTTTCCCCTTATTTTCCTTTGTCAAGTTTAAATATCCTCAAATACTAAAGAGAAACACAAAGAACTAAAGTATTTCAGGAAAACAATACATCAACAGATCAAGAATATCAATAAAGAGATGACAGTATAAAAAGGAACCAAACAGAATTTTGAGCAGAAAAAAATACAATTGAAATGAAAAATTCACTGGATGGGCTCCACAGCAGATTCGAGGTGGCAGAGCAAAGAATCAGTGCACCAGAAAATACAACAAATGAAATCATTGAGTTTGAGGAAAAAAACAGAATGATGAAAAGTGAACAGAGCCTAAGAGACTTGTGAAACACGATCAACTAAATCAACATATGCATTATGGGAGTCCCAGAAGGAGAAGAGAAAGGGACAAAAAGAATACCTGAAGAAACAATGGCAGAAAACTTTCCAAATTTGATAAAAGATATGAACCTACACATTCTAAAAGCTCAACAAACTTTGAGTTTATCAAGTCAAAGACACCCACACTAAGAAACATTAAAATTAGACTTTCAAAAAGAAAGGTAAAGAAAGAATCCTGAAAGTAGCAAGAGAGAAGTGAATTATCACATACAAGGGATCATCAATAAGATTAAATAATGGCTTCTCCTTAGAAACCATGGAGGCCAGAATGTAGCGGCTGAAGAAAAGAATTGTCAGTCAAGAATTCTATATTTGGTAAAATTGTCCTTCAAAAATGAGGAAAAGAGCAGTGGTAAATCATCAGGGCATACCGCCAGCTGTTATCCCTGCCCTTCCCACTTGCCAAGCTAGCTGAGTGGCAACAGATAACTTTGATACAGTGACAGCCTCTAAACCTGCCCCTTGCACTCACCAACCCAGCTGAGTTTCATTCTCCTCCTCCCTTCCTCCACTCACCCTTCCTATTGTACCACCACGTGGCAAGGGGTGGCAAGCATGCCACCACATGCATGCAAATCCACCACTCATACCTTCTCTGTCATGCAAGAGGCAAAGGTAATGTGATTATGCATGCACTTGCCCACCATTCACACCCCCACCATATGATTGAAGGTAGTGACTGCACTCCCACTAGCTTAGTGACAAAAGCCACATCTGTCTCCCCATCCACTTGGCAATTGCCACTGCCTGCTCTTGCACCACTGACCGAAGACAGACAGTGGCCAACAACCTCCAAAACAATCCTTAGCCACCCCACAAGATCACCAACCAGAGAATCACACTCACACATTTAGATGCTATCCCACTCACCTGGAGATAAGTAGCGAGTGGTACAGTGCAGCTAGACTAGTGACCAGAGTAGTACACCCGTCTTACCTGCCAAAATACAATAAAACAAAACAGAATAAAAAAAATCAGGATAAAGCAAACGAACACAGAATTAATAAATAAATACAGTAATACTTTATTGTCTTGGAAACAACAAACAATATCAAATCACCTGAAGAAGCAGGACAAGGTGGATCCAGCAAGTGACCAAAAAAAGAACCAGAAGACTTTCCTGAGGAAGAAATGGTAATGGAACTACCTGATAAAGAATTTAAAAAGCCATATATATAGGGCCCTTCATGAGATCAAGGAAAACACTGACAAAACTCTAGAAGAATTCAGGAAAACAATAAACCTCCTCAAATGAAAAAAGAATATCATAAAGACACAGTAAACACAAAATCAATAGCAATAAAATAAATGAAAAGAAAATCAATAAAGAAAAAGAACTCAGTACAGAAAAGTACATGGAACAGAAAAATCATCAGCACCACAAAAAAAAGCACAACAAAATGACAGCAGTAAATTCACAGCTATTAATAATTACACTGAATGTAAATGGCTTAAATGCACTGTTCAAGAAACAGAGAGTGATAGAATGGCTGACAAAGCATAACACATCAACAGGTTGCCTATAAGACTTGCCATAGACACAAACATAAAATAAGCTAAAAATCAAAGGCTAGAAAAAAATATATCAAGCAAAATGACATCCAAAAAGGAGGAGGAGTGGCAATATTAATCTCTGAAAAAAAAAATGGACTTTAATGCAAAAACCAGCATGAGACAAGGAAGATCATTATATAATGATTAAAGGCTGAACCCAGTAAGAGGGCATAACCATAATAAGTATCTATGCATCAAATGAAAGAGCTTCAAAATAAATAAAACAAAGTTTAACAGAACTGAAAAGAGAAATAGACAATTCCACAATAATAGTAGGAAAGTTTAAAACATCACTTTCAATGAAGGGCAGAAGAACTAGAAGTACACTCAACAAAGATACAGAAGATCTAAACAATACAATCAACCAACTGGATCTCATAAATGTATGCAGAACACTCCACACAACAACAGCACAATATACATTCTTTTCCAGCACATTCTTTTCCAGAATAGATTAATAATACAGAAGGCAAAGTGGCAGAATACAAGATAAACATACAAAAATCAGTCAGATTCCTGTATAGTAACAAAAAGCTACGAAAACACTATCATTTACAACAGCCTCCAAAAAGATGAAATACTTAGTAATAAACCTAACCAGGAATGTAAAAGACTTACACAAAGAGAAGTACAAAACACTACTACAAAAAAAAAAAAAAAAAAGAGAGAGAGAGAGAGATTTATGAAAATGGAAGAACATATTATGCTCATAGATAGGCAGATTTAATACTGGGAAAATGTCAATACTACCCAAAGCTATCTATAGGTATAATGCGTAGTGCCTAAGACACTTGACTGCTAACCAGAAGGCTGGTGATTCAAACCCATCAGCCACTCCTCGGAAGGAAGGTTGGGCAATCTACTTCCATAGTGATAATGCCTCGGAAACCCAAGGAGGAGTCACTATGAGTTGGGTCTGACTCAACGGCACATAACAATAACAAAAATTCAGATTTCATCAGCATTCTCTAGAGAGATGGAAAAACTAATCAGCAACTTTATATGGAAAGGAACGAGACCTTAAATAAGCAAAGCACTATCGAAGATGAACAAAGCAGGAAGCCTCCACTTCCTGATCTCAGAACTTATCATATAGTCAAAATAGTAAAATCAACCTAGTACTGGTACAACGGACTCACAGACCAATGGAACAGAATTTGAGAACCCAGCAATTAATCCAGCTACCTATGGACAGCTGATCTTTGACAAAGGGCCAAAACCCATTGAGTGGGGAAGAGACAGTCTCTGAAACAAATGGTGCTGTAAAACTGGATATCTATTTACAGAAAAATGAAACAGGATCCATACTTCATACCATATACAAAACTAACTCAAGATGGACCAAAGACCTAAATGTAA